TGCTTGTCACCGCCCACCAAGTCACCCCGACCCAACCCGGAGGCCCCAGTTTGCCCGAGATTTGGGTGTTCGGGTTCGGTCGGGGTGTCTGGTAAGCAGTCGGCCCGGGGTGGCTCCAGCGCTGAGGGCAGCAGAGCCGAGGCACGGTGGCGGCGCGCCGGGGGCGGGGAGGGCGGCCCGAGCGAGGTGCGGTACGTGCATCAGGTGCTCCAGCACCTGCAGCGAACGGACTCCTGGTCGGCAGCCCAGCTCTCCGCGTCCCCTTCCTCCTCGGCCTCTGCAGCCGGCACGTCGGCTAGGAAAGCAGCCCCTCCCGGCGAGTGGGCCACAGAAGTCTGCTGTTCCCTGGTGATCCCCGTGAGGATGAATCAGGCGAAAGCCATCCGGCGGAAGGCGCCCAGCAGGGCTGGCGGGCGCTGCCTTTTCGGGGAACCAATCGGCGCGGCTCAAGGGTCCCAAATAGCGGCGGGAGCAAGCAGTGCAAGGATGCGAACTGGAAGAGACAGAAGAGACAGAGGTTAAGATGGATGGAATCGGTTGTCACCCCGGGAAGGATGCGAACTGGAAGAGACAGAAGAGACAGAGGTTAAGATGGATGGAATCGGTTGTCACCCCGGGAGCTGACACGAGCTCTGGGGCACCTTGCGAAGCAGGCATTCGAAGTTCAGAGAGGTGAGCTTTTTGAATCATTGTTTTGCCGATCGGCGTCGGCCCTCGCACCCCCCCCTCTCCCACTCCCGTGGAGTAGATCTTGGCTGTTTTTGGCGCCTGTTCCGAGCAGGTGGAGTCTCCCCCATAGGACGCACGGTCCCAAACAGTCGCACTAAGCAGAGGTCCAGAGCCAGACCCCCGCCCCCTCCCGCCCCTTCCGCCCAACGTCGAAACGCCGAGTAAAAGATGCTCACGTCTGGCCGGCCCCGCGCGTACGGACAGGTCTTGACAAGATGGCAAGCGAGGAGGGGAGATGGTGAGGCAGAGCAGGGGAGATGGGAAGGCGGCGAGGAGGGGGAGCTTGGCCTGGGATCGGGATGGCGAAGAGCCCCAGGGTACGCTGCGCACTCCGGCCCGAGCGTTCCTTCCGCCCCTCAGGCCCCCAGAGACCAGGACACAGACAAACCATGACACGGAAAACCAAGGAAACGACAGCCGTTCCTGCATAGTCACATTTTCCAGTGCCCGTCATTGCTTTGTTTGCTGCATTGCAGGATTCGGGAATGTGTCCGGGTTCAGGAGGGGCTTGCAGGCTCTTAGGGCCAGTGTCCTGGTTTATTTTGAAAGTGTTGCAGTGCAGTCGTGGATGGGCACCAAAGGAGGCGAGGCAGACCGAGACACGAATGGGCGAAATGTATATACAAGGCGTTGGTTGCACATCTCGGGCCCGAGCAAAATTGATTGCCGCTCCTGCAGGACCCCGCCGAATGGCGAATCATTGCGAAGAGCATCGCGAGCAAATCTGATGAAGGCGGTTATCAGTAACAAGCTTGTGCATACATTGCACGTAATGCCCGGTGCCTTGGTGTACTTCTGCTTTTCCCGTCTCGCCCACGCGCTTAGGCGTATGGCTTAGCGCAGCGTAGCGTAGCGTAGCAGAATTTTGTTCGTGCCGCCGTCTGGAAGAATCGGTTTCGAGGGCTGCTGGGTGTCCAGGTCTTGCGTGTCCAGGTTTACGGGCCCCCGAGCCGCCGATGCGGCCACGGGGGGCGCGCCGTCGGAGAGGCGGCCGAAGCCGCGGGCGCCTCTGGCCGGCTGTCCCAGTGTCCAGTGCCCCGTCCCGCCTTCGCCGAGAAAGTGCGAGGCAGGAGGAGTCGGGAGGCGGGATTTGGAGGAACGGAGAGGATGGAGGGAGGCAGGGAGGGAGGCAGGGAGGGAGGCAGGGAGGAGGAGGAGGAGGAGGAGGAGGAAGGAGGAGGCGGAGGAGGAGGAGGAGGAGAAGGAGGAGGAGGAGGAGGAGGAGGAGGAGGAGCAGGAGGAGGAGGAGGATGCTCGGACGACGACGATCTGTCCCGTTGGAGCGGGTGCGGGCCGAGCCGAGGAGCTTCAACCGTTTTTGGGCACCCCGATTCTGCTAGGCCCCTCCCGAGAGGCGGGGCAAGGGGAGGGGCGAGAGGGAGGGAGGCAGGGAGGGGGGCAAGAGGGAGGCGAGAGGGAGGGAGGGAAGGCAGGGAAGGACGGGAAGGGCGCTGCTCCGCCTTGGCCCGCCGACTGGCGCGCAGGCCCGGGATGCCGATGCAGCAGTGGCATCGCGGAAGCAGGCCACCCAGAGGAGCCAACACCGCCGTGCCCGGCCACTGCCCTTTGGCCACGCGCAGGCAGCGCCAAGGGCTCCCCACGCAGCGAGGTGGTCCACCGCGGAAGCGGCGCAGAAGTGCCCTCCCACCTCCGCCCGCCAGGAGGGAGGAGCGGAGCAGGGGGAGTATATGGGCAAGGATCGCAGCTGGAGCAGTGGACGGGAGATGCATGGGTCACCGGGCGCGTCCCACTACTCGCGAAGTGCCTACTCGCAAACGCCCGAAAAAAAACACACATGTTACCCGCGGTGTAGTTTATCGTAGATCCCCCGCGGCGGATGCAGGCCATTTGCGAGTAGCTACTTTGCGAGTAGTGGAGCGCGCTCGTCTAAGGGGGGGACGGGGCAGCAGCGGAGGCAGCGCAGCGCGTGCAGAGCCCCCTCCCTCCCAGATCTCTGGGTGTCGAAGTGGGCCTCGCGTGTGTTTCAGGCCACGCCGAGCCATGCGATTGCAGGTCCGAAGCATGAGTTCCCGGGATGGTGGAGGAGCGTAGTTTCAGCGATTATCCGTGCCACGTGAAGATCAGCTGTGTACCTGCGAGCGCCTGGGTCAGGCACGTAGGAGTTACCAGTTCTTCTTGTCGGTCGCGATCGGTAGCGACCGATCAGGCAATCGAAGTCGGTCGCGGCCCATCGCGACCGACTCCAGAAGCGGGCGCGACCGATCGCGACCGACTCTGAAGCAGAACGGTCGAGGCCGACACCGGAAGCCGAAGCAAAGCAGGCGGCAGGCGATCTCCTCGTCGGTCGCGGCCAGCAAACAGCCTGGCATCCAGAGACCAGGGCTGCCCTCTGCAGTCGCCGTGCCGTCGTGCGCCGTCCGTCGTCGCCGTCGCCCGGGGCGTGCGCCGAGGTTCCGCTCTCCGCGGCCTCCTCCGCCGGTGCCCGCTCCCCCGGCCGAGTGCGCCGCCGGTCCAAAGCGGGCAGGGGCCGTCGAGGGAGCTCGCTCGCGGGAGCGGCGGGGGGGGGGGCGGGACGGCGCAGGTCAGCCTCGCGCAGACGGAGGCAGGGTGGGGGGGGGAGAAAGGCTTACGTCGGGCCTGTCCCTCTAATTACAGGGGGAGTGTCCAAAAATAGTCAAGAAATAGTCCGGGGACCCCGGGGATGTTTTTGTGAGCATGTTTAGGCATTAGTTGATTCTGTTGTGCCCATTCTCGATTTTTCATGCAAAATCCGCCTGTAGGTGAACACGCCCGGCCTAAGGAAAGGCCTCTCAGGACGCGCCCTTGCTCCTTGGAAGGCGCGGCTCTCCTCTGTAGAGGCAGGGCCGGCGCCTTTCAGGAGCAGCCTCCTTCTAAGACATTCTTGGCCTCCAAGATGGTTTCGGAGTAGATGGGGTCGGAGGATCGCGCCGCATCGCCGATGCATCGGCGATGCGGCTCGATGTGGATCCCGATTTGCTTCACGTCGGCGTCGCCGATACATCGCCCAAGTCGACGATGCATCGCTGGTACATCGCCGATGCATCGCCAATGCATCGCCGATGTATCGGCGATGCGGCGCGATCCCCTGACCCCATGTACTCCGACCCCATCTAGGAGGCCTCTGGATGCAGCCCCTCCTTCCCCCATCCCCCCGTGCAAGCCGCCGAGCCGCGGAGGAGGCGGGATGGGGGACGGGCCCGTCGTCGCTCCGCACTCATCCTGGCTTAGCGCTCGCTCCCCTCCCCTCCTCCTCCTCCTCCTCCTCCTCCTGCTTCTCCTATGAAGAGGGAGCTTGGAGGGAGGGTAAATTCCAACATCGTTGATGACTCTTGGGTTTACACTTGTCCTCTTCTTCCACCTCCTCCTCCTCCTCCTCCTCCTCCTCCTCCTCCTCCTCCTCCTCCTCCTTCCTCCTCCTCCCTTTCTCTCCTCTCTTCCTCCTCCTTCTCCTCCTCCTCCCCTCCTCCTCCTCCTCCTCCTCCGTCTCCTCCTCCTCCTCCTCCTCCTGTTTATTGTTCCCTGATGGCATCAGGGTGCTCGCTCGCTGCAGCTTTCCCTGGGGGGGGGCCGGCTGGCCACCACTGGGGGAGTAGAAATAAAGGTAGAAGGTCAGACAGACGGGAATGAGGGAGAGTGAGAGGAGAGACATCCACATCATCAAATCAAGACCTCAGGAGGAAACGAAGGAATTGGGTGCTGGCGGTCAAAGTGCGGTGGCGTAGACGCAAAAGAGGGAGGGGTGACGGCCCTAGGGCCTTGTGGTTTTGTGGCGCAGCCGGGTCCCCCCTCCTGCGAGTCGCCTGGCCCTGCCGGGCCAGCGCTCTAGAGGGTGCCCAGCGTCCCTTTTTTTTGAGGTGCCCTTCTATTCTCCCGCTTGGGGTCACGGTTGAGGCTGGCAAGTTGCCGGCTTGTCCTGGCTCTCCTCCTCCTCCTACTCCTCCTCCTCCTCCTACCCCTCCTCCTCGTGGGGCATGAGGGAGGAGGAAGGACGGAGGAGGGCCGAGGAAGAAGGATGAAGGGAGGAAGACGATTGGGAGGATGACTTGACCTGCGGAGTGATGCTGCCGCGATGTGTTGCACGCGACAACAGGCTGGGCCGCCCTTAGAGGGCTGGTCTACGCTTTCGAGGTGCTCACAGTTCCACTGCCCTGTCAGTCAGTGGTATGCGCTGCTCTGTCATTGTTCACTCGTCTGAGCCCCGCGTCTGGACTGAAGAGTTTCATCAGGCTTGCATCGGTGCTACCAGCGAGTCGCGGAACCGAAGTCTGCAAGGCTATTGGACTTTGATTTTGCGTACTTGCAGCACACTGGATGTGGTACAGACCATCCCATGCAGTCTCAGATTGTCGCGCGCTTCATGTCGGACCCACATTGACGATGCAAGTTGATATGGGTCTGCAGGCATATTGTCGGTGCTGCTGCCTTGTTCACATGGGTCTGCATGCACATTGCGATAAGAATGTCAATTTGATGCCCCTGTTCGAGCAAGGCTGTTGTCCTTGAGCTTCGAAGACGGCTTCTTCGCGCATCCCGAGGCAGGATATGTTGTGGCCAGGGGGGTTAAGCAGTTGCTCAAGCCCAGGGATTTGATGAGAGTCTGGGAGCAAGGATGAATGTAGAGAGAACAACTCTGCGTGCACAATGCAATATGCTGTGTTTGTGCATGTCGCCCACACCCACACTCCATGATGAGAAAGAGCGGCCCATGCCCGATGAGTCCGTATCTGGAAGGGAGTTCGAGGGTGGGGTCTGGGAGAGTACGCCCACCATCGCGGGGGGGGACCCATATCGTGCTCGTAGTCCGTCAATCCCGGGATACTATCAGGTCGAGATTTGCAGTTTCTGTTTTAGGTTGAAATTCTCTTGATGATTCTCCCGACGTGCCCTGTGCGGTGTGATTTCATTGAAATTTGTTCACGACCGGTCATCACTAGCCCCGACTTTTCCGTTGCCCTGGTGTTGCTAGGTTCCAATTGCTTCCCTAGGCCCAATGCGCAAGTGTGATGGGATGCCCGCTGGTTCTGAAATAGCCTCGGCCAGTTTTTGGCCCAGAGCAGTCGGATATCGCCTGGTCTGGGGCTGACTTCGCACAGCTTGGCTCCAGTGTGCTTCCCGTGGCGACCCGTGGCGTCCTACGGTCTTGAGCGAACGCGCTGGCGCCGCACAATACAGCAATTGTCAACCTCAAGCCCTATGGTTGGGACATCTCCTTTTCTCAGGCGCTCTTGGTGCATGCTCGGCCACCGCGTCGCCCCGTCAGACTGGCCTGAGTTAAGGTGGCCATGGTCGCCCACTCCTGCCAGCACGCGCGCGCGCAGGAGCAAGGAGGGGAGGGGAAGGACCGCACTGACACTGCCCGACTGCGCCGCTCCAAACTGGCACACGGCATGACCCCCCAACCGTTGACGTGGCCGCGCCACCAGCCACCGGCATGCCCTGCGCCCCTGGCTGCCTTCTTCCCGCCAGGGTCGAGGCCTCCCAGTTGGGCTCCTCCTCCTCCTCCTCCTCCTCCTCCTCCTCCTCCTCCTCCTCCTCCCCATCCTCCATCCTCCATCCGGGCCTCCGAGCTGGGCCCGCGGCGGGCTGCGCGCCCAGCGCCCGCCGCGCGGGCGCGCGGCTCGAGAGGGCCGCGGGCCCCCCTCAACAGCGGCAGCGGCGGCGACGGCGACGAGGACGGCGGCAGCGACGGCGGCGAGGTCGTCGACGGCGGGGGTCACGGGCACTCTCGGCGCGACAGGCCGCGGGGCCCTCTTCGGCCTCTCGGGCGCGCGACTTCTCGCCTTTTTGAGTGGGCGGAGGGGTGGGCGCTCCCGGAGACTGTCTTTGTTTTAGGGTCCGGCGATATCCCGGGTTCTCGAGCTTGCCCCCCTCCCCCACCCCGCAGATAACCTAACCTTGCCCGTTGTGCAGGTCCGGGGGTGGGGGGGCGCGGGCATATGCTGGGCTGCCCACAGCGCGAAGGTCAGGTTATCGGCCGGCTCTCTCCGCTCCCACCTGGATAACCCGGGTTACAGTCAAACCGCATAGTAAGGACGGGCAACCGTCCCAAGGGTACCCTTGCATCCTTGCCTCCTCGGTGCATCCTTGGCCACTTCGCCATCGGTGCATCCCCGCTCGAAAACTTCGAAATGGGCTTCCAAGGGCCTTGCATCCTTTTCGCGCATCCTTACTGCACGGGTTGACTGTATTGCCGATTCAAAACAAAAAACGGTCGTATCATAGGCACCGAGTTCGAGCCAGAGTTGGCCGCACCAGGAGCGGGCGAGAGGCGCAGGTGCGGAGTGGCCTCGTTTCTTGCCCTCTTTTCGCCTCTTGCGTCTCTCTCTCTCTCTCTCTCTCTCGCCCCCCCTCTCTCTCTCTCTCTCTCTTCCTCACACACTCTCTCTCTCTCTCTTTCTTTCTCTCTCGTTCTCTCGTTCTCTCTTTCTCTTTCTCTTTCTCTTTCTCTCTCTCTCTCTTTCTCTTTCTTTCCCTACACCCTCCCCTGGGCCTGCCACCAGCGCGATAATTCCATCCACCTGGATGCTTCCTCCTCAACCTTGGCGGCCGCTACCCATCGGGGAAGCGTGCGACTCGAGTTCCCCGGCACCTCGGGCTCGCCGGCGCTTTTCCATGGGTCCGTCCCGAGCTCCGACGGTCCAGTTTTTCCGTGGGACGCGTGCAGCAGGAGTTCGCGCAAACTTTCGAATTGGGACTCGTCGTTTTCCTGGCGGCTTCGTCGTGCCCACTCGAATCTCCCGCACCCGAGCCACACACATGGATAATTTCTAATGTTTCGAAAGTTCCTTGATTTTTTTGGGGGGCCAAGATCCTTTCATTTCTAATTAATTGTTCCATCATGGGTCTCTTCCTGGCCACTAGGGGGCCAGGAACAATTAGAAACGAGCACAATTAGAAATGAGCACGATTAGAAATGAACGACGTGTACGTCTCCCCGATGTGCGGCTGGGAACTTCTGGACCGCGTGTGGCTCCGCCGGTTCTCTCGCCCACTGGGGCCTATCTGTGCCGCGCGCTGTCCATTCTACGGCCCCGAGGCGTCGACGGCCTATGCTTTCTCCCGAGCCTCCCGCCCCGCGGAGCGGGGCGACACACTAACTTTGGGCCTCAGGACCCACTGAGGCCCCAGGGGCCCCAGATTAGTGAAGTGATGTTTTTTTCCCGCGTAGGGGCCCCGAAATTCGTCATTTCAATAAACCGAGCCCAGGGCGAAAGTCAGGGGCCGAATTGCTGCTATGATGCGACATAGGTCTCGTACGCTGTCCGCTTGCAAGGGGCAGAGTGCCGCCGGGGCCGCTGCGGCGACACGCTGGCCTAGAGTTCCCAACCGTGAGTGAGCGTCCTCGTCGTCGTCTCCGCCCTTCTTCCCTATAAGGGCGTGGCGACGTTTCGCCGATCGGCTTGTGGGGATTCGAGCCAGATAGCCCCAGGCAGATGCAGATACATCGAGGTACATTTACGTAAATCCAGGTAATTCCAAAGATGTCAAGGGAATGTTGGAGCAGATCGCGGCCGCTCCAGCGCGGGCCGACGGACGTCAGAAGTCGTCAGGCCCTTGACGACTCCTGCTGCCCCGCCTGCTCTCTCTGGCGGCTCTGTCTCCTCCTCCTCCTCCTCCTTCTCCTCCTCCTCGTCCTCCTCCTCCTCCTCCTCCTCCTCCTCCTCCTCCTCCTCCTCCTCCTCCTCCTCCTCCTCCCTCCTCCCTTCTCATTCCTCTCCCCCCCTCCCCCCTCCTTCGCCCTCCTCCCTCCTCCCTTCTCAATCCTCCTCCCTCCTCCCTCCTCCCCCCTCCTCCCTCCCTCCCCCCTCCCTCCTCCCTCCCTCCTCCGTCCCTCCTTTCTCCTCCCTCCCTCCTCTCTCTCTCGCCCGCCGGAGAAGCTCAAGCGCGTGCGGATCCTCGTCCAGGCCCTCGGAGGCACGCCGCGCCGCCGCCTGCCGGGGGGGCCCTGCGAGCCTGGAGCCGTTTTCTGCAGCAGGGCGCGAGCTCGAAGTCGGGCCTGCCAGAGCAGTGCAAAAAGTAGTCTGGGGACGATTTTTTTAAATTATTTTTGTTCAAACGTGTTTTGTCAACTCGTTTTTTGCTAAATTTTGTGTTTCGTCCAATGACGGCCTGGAGGGGGGGACAGGCCCGACCCAAGGCCAGCTCAGCAGTGTGCGTTGGCGGCTGCGTGGGCCGTGGTCGTTTGGAGTCGGTTTCGCAGCAGGGGCGGAACGAACGAGGGCAGCACGAGGGCAAGCGGCCTTACACAATGAAAAACCAGAGAGCACCGTCTGGCTCGCGCTCTGGTCCGTCGCCCCGCCCCCCCTCCCCTCGTACCCCCTATACAATTACTCAATATGAATACTACTATCCCTCTTCCCCTGATGACGGTTTGAAAGTGCTCGACCCCCACCCCCGCGCACTGTTCTTTTACACACACGGAGTTGGGTTGTCGCTTGCATTTTTACCTAACAGCGTAGACTGATAGGTTTCTAGTTGATTCAAAAGAGCTCACAGATCACTCCACAGGGGGGTCCGGGCAGGCGTTGGGAGTTGCCGGCCGGGCCTGTGCCGGGCTCGTTTTTCACCAACAGTCACACACTTCGTGCTCGTCGACCTCTCAGAACCCCATTCCCAGGCCACATTCTGAATAACCGGATGCAACAGTCACACACTTGGTGCTCTTCGACTTCCCAGAACTCCATTCCCGGGCCACATTTTGGATGCCCGGAGCCAACTGTAGGCCACTTCGTGCTCTTCGACTGCCCAGAACTGTCCATTCCCGGGCCACATTTTGAATGCCCGGAGCCAACTGTAGGCCACTTCGTGCTCCCAGAATCCATTCCTGGGCATGATTTTGAATGCCCGGAGCCAACTGTAGACCACTTCGTGTTCTTCGAGTTCCCAGAATTCCATTCCCGGGCCACATTTTGAATGCTGAGGCAGGCTGAGGCTGAGGCTGAGGCAGGCTGAGGCTGGAAGGCAGGCTGAGGCTGAGGCTGAGGCTGAGGCTGAGGCTGAGGCTGAGGCAGGCTGAGGCTGAGGCTGAGGCTGAAGGCAGACTGAGGCTGAGGCTGAAGCAGGCTGAGGCTGAGGCTGAGGCTGAGGCTGAGGCTGAGGCTGAGGCTGAGGCTGAGGCTGATGCTGAGGCAGGCTGAGGCTGAGGCTGAGGCTGATGCAGGCTGAGGCTGAGGCAGGCTGAGGCTGAGGCCGAGGCTGAAGGCAGACTGAGGCTGAGGCTGAAGCAGGCTGAGGCTGAGGCTGAGGCAGGCTGAGGCTGAGGCTGAGGCAGGCTGATGCTGCTGAGGCTGAGGCTGAGGCTGAGGCAGGCTGAGGCTGAGGCAGGCTGAGGCTGAGGCCGAGGCTGAAGGCAGACTGAGGCTGAGGCTGAAGCAGGCTGAGGCTGAGGCTGAGGCAGGCTGAGGCTGAGGCTGAGGCAGGCTGATGCTGAGGCAGGCTGAGGCTGAGGCTGAGGCTGATGCAGGCTGAGGCTGAGGCAGGCTGAGGCTGAGGCCGAGGCTGAAGGCAGACTGAGGCTGAGGCTGAAGCAGGCTGAGGCTGAGGCTGAGGCAGGCTGAGGCTGAGGCTGAGGCTGAGGCTGAGGCAGGCTGATGCTGAGGCAGGCTGAGGCTGAGGCTGAGGCTGATGCAGGCTGAGGCTGAGGCAGGCTGAGGCTGAGGCCGAGGCTGAAGGCAGACTGAGGCTGAGGCTGAAGCAGGCTGAGGCTGAGGCTGAGGCAGGCTGAGGCTGAGGCAGGCTGAGGCTGAGGCTGAGGCTGAGGCTGAGGCTGAGGCAGGCTGAGGCTGAGGCAGGCTGAGGCTGAGGCAGGCTGAGGCTGAGGCAGGCTGAGGCTGAGGCTGAGAGGCTGAAGGCAGGCTGAGGCTGAGGCTGAGGCTGAAGGCAGGCTGAGGCTGAGGCTGAGGCTGAGGCTGAGGCTGAGGCTGAGGCAGGCTGATGCTGAGGCAGGCTGAGGCTGAGGCTGAGGCTGATGCAGGCTGAGGCTGAGGCAGGCTGAGGCCGAGGCTGAAGGCAGACTGATGTTGAGGCTGAAGCAGGCTGAGGGCGAGGCTGAGGCAGGCTGAGGCTGATGCAGGCTGAGGGTGAGGCTGAGGCAGGCTGAGGCCGAGGCTGAAGGCAGACTGATGTTGAGGCTGAAGCAGGCTGAGGGCGAGGCTGAGGCAGGCTGAGGCTGAGGCAGGCTGAGGCTGAGGCTGAGGCAGGCTGAGGCTGAGGCTGTGACTGCGACTGCTGTTGCCACTGCGACTGCCATCGCGAATGCGACCACGACTGCGAGAACAGCAGAATTCTACAACAGGATTCTTATCTGAATCTTAAGGGGAATGCTTCCAGATATGCTCCTACACATCGCTGTTAGGTTGCTTTGCCGGGATAATTGTTCAAAATGCTGCTCTCGCTGAGGCGCCGGCCTCATTTTCGGGCCCCGCTCGTTCCGAATCGTGCTCCCGCTGCAGCGCTGGCCTCATTCCCGTGCTTCCGCTCGTTCCGAATCGTGCTCCCGCTGCAACGCTGGCCTCATTTCCGCGCTTCCGCTCGCTTCGACTCGTGCTCCCGCTGCAGCGCTGGCTTCATTTCCCGTGCCATGCCACGGCATGCAATGGAATGCTAGGTTGATACTACGCTTTGCGGTGCTCGATTCTACGCCATGCCACGCCGTGTTCTACAATGCATCGCGTACCCTTTCGGGATCATTGCCCTGCTCGACATCCGACTGTGCGAGTAGAGAGGGGATCTACGCCATGGTAAGGGATGGGAGGGAGGGGTAGGATGTCAGATATGACGCGAGCGCACCTAGCTTGTCACACCCCCCCTCCCCTCCAGGCCTCTCCCGCTTCATCGCGAGCCAGTCGCGACAGACATCACCGCGGGCAGCTCTGGGCCGTGGTCGGCCGCCGGGGGCCCGCGGGCCCCGGGGCCGTCCAGAAACTGCGCGGGAGCACGAGCCGGGCCTCCGGAGAGGGGCCCCGAGCTCTGTCTCATAGGATTCGATGCGGCACGTCGCAGTACAAGAGAGGGGGGCACAGCCCCCCCCAGGCGGGCAACTTTGCCCCCCCCCCCTCACCCTTCCCTTGCCCAGACCAGCCACGAACAGGCGGCCTTCTGCCCAGACCCCCCTGGAAGCCCCAGGGGCCTCTCAAATCAGGCAGATGTGGCCCCCCGCGTGGTACATGAGGGCTTCGCCCCCGGCCGCCGGTCCGCTCTCTCTCACTCTTTCTCTCTCTCTCTCTCTCTTTCTCTCTCTCTCTCTCTCTTTCTCTCTATATATATATATATATCAGAATGGGATCTACCATCCTCCTCCTCCACCTCCTCCTCCTCCTCCTCCTCCTCCTCCTCCACCTCCTCGGATCGGGATCATCAGCGCGTATTGAGACGTTGGCGTCATCCCAGTGGCCTTCTGCCCATCCCGCCACCGCGCCTGGGATGTGGGTCTGGGGCCTCTCGTATTTCTGTGTCGGGATGTCGTGGGAAGCCTCGCGGGGGCCTCTTGGAGGCGGTTTGGGCGCCTCTTGGGGGCCTCCTGGGGCCTCGTGTGGCATCGTTTGGGCCTCCTGGAGGCCTCTTGGGCGCCTCTTGGGGCCTCTTGGGGCCTCTTGGCGGCCTCTTGGGGCCTCCCGGCGGCATCTCGGGGCACAAATATCGAATGTTCGGTTCGTGGTCCCCTGCTTGGGCCCCTCTTGGAGCCGTATTGGGGCCCGGTTGGGCCGTCTTGAGTGCTTCTTGGGCCATCTTGGAGCCACTTGGGCCGTCTTGGGGCCCTCTTGGAGGTGTCTTGGGCTGTCTTGGGGCGGTCTTGGTAGCGTCTTGAACCGTCTTGAAGGGTGGGAAAGCCGAAAATGCGAGAAGGCCAAAATCGTTCAAAAACCTTCGTCGCATCTACGATTTGGGCCTCTTGGGGCTCTCTCGGGGGGCCTTTTGGAGCGCTCTCCGTCTTGGAACCACCTTCGGGCGCCTTGGAGAACTTTTGGCCTCGGCACTGCGAATACGGCGTAATTTGCAAATGTGTATGGCTCTGGGGGCGCGCATATTGCGTAACTTAAAAGGGTTGATTGCCTCAGGGACGCAAGCATTGCTGTAATTCACTACGGGTTGTGGCCTCGGGGACGCGAACATGTTGTAGTTTTCCGGGGGATTGTGGCCCCAGGCGCGCGAATCTCATGTATTTTTACGTGTCCAACGTCCCCATGGGAATTCAGGCAACGCAATTTGGGCGTGGTAAACTGGGCGGTTTGGGGGTCCCCCACTAGCGCGGAATTCAACAATTTACAGTAGGAAGCAGAAAGCAGGACTAACATTGGAGACTTGAAACTGCAATTGTTGCAGGGAGCACCAATGCGTCCTACAGCCTGGTGGCTCCACAAGGGGGCCGGTGGATTACGGAACGCGGCAATTCCACCAACCCGCAGAGAATGAGGGAGAAGGGGGAAGAGCATCAAGTGGTCGACGACGACGGTGGGAGTAAGCAGGAGGAGGAGGAGGACGACGACGACGACGGGAAGATTTTCGATGCTCTGGGGACCTGGTCGAGGTACCCCTCGTGGAGCCTCTTGGCGTCAAGCGAGTCCGTCGGGGGTCGCCGCTGGGGCCTCCGGTATTCTAGGTGGGTCGGGGCGGGTTCCTGTGGGATGGGGTGCGGGAGGGAGCCGGCTCCACCCCGGCCCCGCCCCTCCCCTCCAATCGTCTCCCATTTTTCGGGGGGCCCCAAACGGTGTGGTGACCACACCGTGCGGTGAGTCGGTGGGGATCCTGAGTCACCGCGCGGTTTTGGGACTCGAGTCCTTCTCCGAGGATGTCTCGGGCGACAGGGGCCTCCAGGGTCCCAAGACCGTGCGGTAGCAGACCGTGCGGTGAGGTCTCTTGGGGTTCCGAGGTCACCGCACGGTCTATCACCGCACCGCACCGTTCCGGGACTCCAA